AGTCACTTTACTAACTGCAATAAGCTTATAAATACTAAATTTATGAGATGATAAAGTTGCGTTATATTGTGATAAATATATATTTGTTTTAAATCTTATCAGTCTAATCACAATAAAATTCCTATTAAATATTAAAATATTACTATAATTAACATTTAAATATTTAAAATATATTAAAATGATGTTCTCTATCGAAATGTTCGATTTACAATTAGATCATCACTTTTTTACACGACATGTTTCAGTTCTAAATGAACCATCTTCAGGTGTATAAAATTATATAAACTTAAATATAATTTCTTAAATGCAACTTTTAGTCAGATGTTTATCAGATATCAAAATTATGTTTTCTTCCAAATTTTATTGTATTTTTAATATCGTATTCGAAGTTGTTCTGTATATGTACGTCGTGTTTAACATGATTTTGTTTTTGTTGTTGTTTTTGTATCAGCCTGTAAAGTAAATAATATAAGGAACAAATGAATATTAATGAATTAGAAACAGAAAATAAAATAATATATTTGAAAATTTAATTGTAAAGTTATCGAATTGCAAAGCCTCTTAATTAATTAACGCTTTGATTTCCCCTGTAGCTTCACATCAACGAATAAAAAAACTAAATTTCTCTGCGAATCTCAAGACCACACGGCAGAAAGCAAGTGACCAGGTCTAACGTATTTAATTCACATTAAACATGGCTTCCAGCCGCAATTAACGCAAAGAAATAGAGGAACCAAAATGTTATTTTTCCTAACACGTGTTTCTTTTCGTTTGATGTAATCTCATTACAGTAGATTGGTCTAGAAATTCTAGAGGGAAAATAAAAAAAAGGCTTTTCAATCAATTTTCACACCATCTTCCCCCACTCACAGCTTGATATGCCATCCTTTCACGAACCATTAAACTGAAAAGTGTAGTTCACTTAAACACACCGCAGAATCTTATAGTGTATGCTCCACTGACGGTAAATTTCACTTCAAAATCGATTCTGATTTAATTTAAGATCAAATCACCTTAGGTTCGAATTTATAATCGTTTATCTCTTGCTTTGGTCCAATTAAACCGGCAGTTGTTTTTAAAAATGAAACATATTCTTCAAACTTCTTCTTAGAATAATACTGGAATTCGTCATTCGGTGTTATATAACACATCAATAATTTTTAAGTTGATAAAGCATCTTCAAAATAATTATGAATAAACTTTTTCGTTGTACAACCATCATCTTAACATATGCAGTTGTGATGTAATTAAATTTATACGTATAACAAAATTGAATCAGCGAAACAAAAAGTTCGCAAAATTCTTCTATTTTGAAATTAAGTCCATCTAAAAGAGCAAAGCCATAATCTACCTGAGTAACTGAAACCTAATCTGGTTACCATGGCGACAGCAGATTCAAAAGGGAGTGTCAACAAAATGGCTGATTTACAGGAGGCCAAACTCTTAAGCTTCTTTCTTTCGACAAATGTGCATTATTAGTGTTCATTCGCCCAAATTGAACAGCATTACGCCCTTCTGGTATAACATACCAGTGTTTCATGTCATTATACGAGGCGCGTCCTCAAAGTAAGTTTCCCACTCGTCCCACAGCTAGCAAACCTTATATTGCGCGAAGCGACTGTGCGTACGTGATAGAGCAATGACGTAGCATGGCGCATGCACTAACGGC